TCAATGAATATTGTAGGAGAAGTGTGGATCCTGAGTTCAAGAGTGAAAGTTACTATGAAGCTGACTGCAATAATGAAACAGTCAATCACTCTTTACTTTTTGTCATTGGTTGTCTAACCAACATAATTTCAAGGTGTAAACTATGACATCTAAACTCTAGTTATTGGTGGCACCATCATTTCAGTCAGAGTCAGTCAGATGCAACGTAGAACTTCGTACGTAAGTACATCAGTTCATGGTACCAAAAAACACATTAGCACAGAAACACAATTGTCAATTCAAATCCCATAGTGGTAGGGATAGTAGGAGTACTACCGGTAACAGAGAAGATTGGGATTTGAAGATATTATTCAAGAAGTTTAATGCAGTGAGATAAGGAGGAGTCCCACACCAGGACGAAACGGCCGTCCAGTGCTTCCAGGTTTCTAATGGTGGTCTAACAGTGATCGATTCATGGTTTCGAAAAATATGTAACTTAACAATCTTCACAACCCCGTAATGCAAATTACCTGTGCTCACTAGTGACTAGCTTCGTGAGGAATCTTCTCCGAGTTCCAGTGGGAAGATGTGACCAGTGAAGTTCAACCTGTTAGGGTGTAGATAGTGTCTACCGAAGACTGTGTATGAGGTTGCGCAACTCCGTGAATTCAGTCAATTTAGACATTAACACCGTCAGATACCGGCTCACTGATCTAACGGTTAGGGCTTTCGTGCACAATACCGAAGGTCCTAGTTTCGAATCCCAAGGGGTGCAGGAGTCGTAGATGCGCAATGCTGAGGAGTCCCATACCAGGACGAAACGGCCGTCCAGTGCTTCCAGGTTTCTAATGGTGGTCTAACATTGATCGATTTATGGTTTCAAAAATGTATAAGTTTAGAAAGACAAAAGTAGCGGTGTTGATGAATCCAGAATCATAATTTACAATAAAAGTTATCTCATGCTAAAATAAAATAACTTACAACTGTTCAATTTTCATTTTGTTTTGTAGAAGGCCGAAAATTCAAAAATAAATAATAAAAACTAATTAACTGTGTATTGTTTTTTGAAACATGTTCGTTTGATAGTGATGTCATTTCAATGAGGAAAACTGTTGAATAAGACAAACTATCCGAATAGTGCAACTCGTTTAATGTATGCTGGATACGATAGATATCACTCTAATTTTCAATGAGATTTCATTTGATTAGTTTGATCAAATGAACATTTTATTCTAGTAGTAGTCAGCAATGTAATGCTCAGTTTCAGTCGAGACTTGTACTGTATACAGACCATGAAAACCATCTTACACAATATGACGATTCATATTTATTACTTACTCACTTGCTTACGCCTGTTACCCCCAATCGAGCATAGGCCGCCCACCAGTTAGCTCCAACCAACTCTGTCCTAGGCTTCTCTTTCCAGTTCTGTTCAATTTTTGTTCATTCCTCTCATATCTTTCTCTATTTCTCGGCCTAATGTGTTCCTTAGCCTTCCTCTTTTCCTGTTACCTTGAGGGTTCCATGTGAGGGCTTGTCTTCTGATGCAGTTAGGTGATTTTTGTAGTGTGTGTCCTATCCACTTCCACCGCTTCTTCCTGATTTCCTCCTCCACTGGAATCTGGTTTGTTCTCTCCCACAGTAGGTTGTTGCTGATAGTGTCTGGCCAACGAATCTGAAGTATTTCGCGTAGACAACTGTTCATAAATACTTGTATCTTCTCCAAGTTTCCACTCCATAGAGTAGAAGTGTCTTGACATTTGTATTGAAAATCCTGATTTTGGTGTTGATTGATATTTGCTTGGAGTTCCAGATATTTTTCAGTTGTAGAAATGCAGATCTTGCTTTGCCGATCCACAACATCACATCTGCATTGGATCCAGCTTTGGTTTTCGATGATGATGCCAAGATATGTAAAGGTGGTAACGTACTCCTAAGCATCTCCATCAAGAGTGATTTGGTTAGCGCATGTTGTGTTGCATCAAAGAATTTCGCTTTTTCCTTTATGTATGTTGAGACCTACTGCTGAAGAGGCTGCTGCTACACTGGTCGTCTTCTCTTGTATTTGTTGTTAACTAAAGTAGTAAATATTGATTTTGTTTCACAGAAATTTCTTACAATAAACACTGACTGTGCTAAGACAAACGACGCTCAATATAAATTTTCAAAGTTGTATTTGATTGATTTTGGTTAAAAATCTACCGAAAAATCAAAGAGTAGTGAACAGTTGTTCCGCTCTTCAGTGACAATGTTCAAACTGAACGCTGTGGATAAAGACGGAACTTCTAGATCACTGAGAGGGCATTTGATTGCTTTAATGTAGAGTTTCAATCTATTTAAAAAGTTCCACATACATCGCCCAATGACTGAGGTGAAAAATTTCCAATAAATAATTTAGTTGAAATTCAACTGTCACAGTTTCACACAAAAACTGTTAGCAAAACATTCTCAAAGTTAGTCACTGATGACCATGTTATTCTGATTCTCAGTAGAATTAGTAGTAGTAGTAGTAGTAGTAGTAGTAGTAGTAGTAGTAGTAGTAGTAGTAGTAGTAGTAGTAGTAGTAGTGTAGTGAATGAGAACACAGGTGGGGTAACCGAATTGTAATTAGCGAAAATTACAGAGTTACTCAGTAAAATAGAAAACCATATCGTAAATTGTTCATTTGCAAAATATCAGTCCATCATATCGAACTGGAATGTTCCTGTTGCAAAACATCAATCGATTGTCACTATTCATGCGTTTCGTAAAAATTCCATTGTTTTCCAACTCTTCCTTTCTTGATCTTCCCCCATCTTCTTCTGCTAGACATTACGTTGACACTCACGTCATATACTACTTATAAGTAGCTCACAACACACTCGTCCCCCCTTTTAATAAGCTGTCGTGACTTTCAAAACAGGGACCTTGGTCAGTTAATATCACCTTCCGTATTCCGTGACACGCTAAAATATGCCGGATTACCACTTCGGTCATTGTTCTTGCCCGCTGGTCTGGAATGGATACGGCATCCATCCAAAGTGTAGCGTTTACTAGTTCCCGCTGCTGGGACACGGCGTCAGGCCCACTCTCGATAAATTGCGACACCGACAACTGTGCCTCCGACTCCCCATCCTTACTCGGCAGCGTACGGCGCAGCAACATCGTGAGCTCCACAGCCGGCACCACCGGGTCACCATCAACCGACAGTCTCGCCAACCGGAATCTTTGCGGCGCATCCTCCCTGTCCACCGGGCTGTCGAACTCCGTCATCAGCTGCCCGGCGACACAGTCCAGACTGTCATATACCGCCGTCGCCTCACCTCCCCGCAGCGTCCCAAGCACCGCCAACCTACCCCGGGCCCCACCAGCTCCACCGTGGCCTCGAACTGCTCCAGGAAGCTCCGCAAATCTCCGTCCTCCAACTCCTTTGGCCACGGGTCCTCCTTCCTTCGAGCAGGCAGCGACACCAAATGTAGTGAATGAGAACACAGGTGAGGTAACCGAACTGTATTTAACGAAAATTACAGAGTTACTCTGTAAAATTGGAAAACCATTCCGTAAATCGTTGTTAATTTGCAAAATATCAGTTCATCATATCGAACTGGACTGTTCCTGTTGCAAAACATCAATCAGCATTGTCACTATTCATGCGTTTCATACAAATTCCATTGTTTTCTAACTCTTCCTTTCTTGATGTTCCCCCATCTTCTTCTGCCAGACATTACGTTGACATTCACGTCATATACTACTTATAAGTAGCGCGCACCACAGTGGTAGTAGTAGTACTGGTAGTAGTAGTAGTAGTAGTAGTAGTAGTAGTAGTAGTAGTAGTAGTAGTAGTAGTAGTAGTAGTAGTAGTAGTAGTAGTAGTAGTAGTAGTAGTAGTAGTAGTAGTAGTAGTAGTAGTAGTAGTAGTAGTAGTAGTAGTAGTAGTAGTAGTAGTAGTAGTAGTAGTAGTAGTAGTAGTAGTAGTAGTAGTAGTAGTAGTAGTAGTAGTAGTAGTAGTAGTAGTAGTAGTAGTAGTAGTAGTAGTAGTAGTAGTAGTAGTAGTAGTAGTAGTAGTAGTAGTAGTAGTAGTAGTAGTAGTAGTAGTAGTAGTAGTAGTAGTAGTAGTAGTAGTAGTAGTAGTAGTAGTAGTAGTAGTAGTAGTAGTAGTAGTAGTAGTAGTAGTAGTAGTAGTAGTAGTAGTAGTAGTAGTAGTAGTAGTAGTAGTATTAGAAATTCATGTAGTCATGAGTTAGATCAATACAATTTCTATAAATTATCAGTCAATCAATTTATTTTTTTATACAAAAATTACCCAGATCACATAAACCGAAAGCCTTTTTATGATAAGTGGTAATAATGATATCTTCTCCATCGTGTACTTGTTCATTGAAATTTAAATTTGTTTGATTCGCAAAAATGGTATACATTCGATGAAATCCTGATGAATCTTTTTTAAATATTATTATTAAATCATTAGGGGAACAAATGTTATCGTTCATTTCCCATGTTAACTGATTGGATTCGTTACTAGTGATTCTTAATTTACTATTTTTCACTCTGAAAACTGTAATCAAAAAAGAAAAAAATATGAAAAAAAATATAGATAAAATGATATTGTGAACTGTTAACTGTTGAGAATATTGTGACATCAATAAAATATATATATCGATGAAAGTTTCGCCAGATGGATGGATGGATTGAGTCTAATTAGTAACACCGGTGGATGTGGAGTCGATGGTGTTGAGGTTTAGCATTCGCGCACGAAACCGAATTATCTAAGTCCAGTTCCCATGTAATTGGTTCAAGAATGTGCACCCGGGACAAGTTCTATACTAGAATGAGACAGCTGTCCAGTACTTATAAGTTCTTAGTGATGTTCTAGCTGCGATGATTTCGTGATTTCAACAGTGAAAATTTCAAATCATCAACCTAAACAAGCTAATCACTTCATTTAAATAGTAATTTTTCTGAAACTTTAACTATTGTTTTTCATCTTCCCATTATATATATCATTCAAATAATCGAATCTCGATGCTGAATAAAGTTGCTAGTCATATCTGTTCATGTTTTTGAGGAAAAAAACAATTAAACTCACTTCGTTTGTAACTTAGTTTCCTAGATTCTACATCATAATAACCTAACACTTTTCGTCCTTTTGATTGTGTGATAGAATAATGTTGAAATTGACATGCTGGAGCAAGACTTCTTAATTTAGCTGCTTTCATATCATCTCTCATATCTCGTGAAATACTCTGTTCATCTAGTTGAAGTTTCAAAGCACCATAATATTCTCTTTCAAATGGAATCCATTGAAAATATAAATATTCTTCACTTTCTTGTACCAACCAGAATGTTGGAGTTTTGGAGTTTTTCACTGATAGAATAAACACAATAATGAAAAATTGAAGTACATTTTGTGCAAAGAGAGGTTAGTTTACGAAATACTTCAACTAAAATTTGGTGAATAGAAATTTCCGCCGTTTAGATGTTAGAAATTAAATTACTGAAGTGTCTACTTATAAGTAGTATATGACGTGAGTGTAAACGGAATGTCTGGCAGCAGAAGATGAGGGAAGATCAAGAAAGGAAGAGTTAGGAAACAATGGAATCTGTATGAAACGCATGAATAGTGACAGTGGATTGATGTTTTGCAACAGGAACAGTCCAGTTCGATATGATGAACTGATATTTTGCAAATGAACAATTTACGATATGGTTTTCCTATTTTACTGAGTAACTCTGTGATCGTCAATCTCTTTCTTAACACAATTCACGGTTTCATTGGAGATAACTACATTTCATTCATCAGAATCACTGTAAATGTACAGCATGTGCTTTTTACTAGCATGTGGGCTTTGAATGAACTGTTAAGCCTATCATGTGGTGCACGATGAAATGATATTTATTTGTAAACTGAGAACAACTGTTTCATACGAGTATGGAAAAGGTGTAATACAACCATGATGTTTGCAAGACACAATTATTTACCTAAAACAATAGGAGATGATTGAACAACATCGCTAAAATAATTCAAGATGGATATTTACATTAATGGAAAGCAAGTTTACAGTTGAGAACCAATGGATGTCTATTCATTGATTAAAAGAACAAACATCATCCATGAGGTATAATGATACTGCTTTTCATCATTCGCGTTGCTGTTGTGGATCCATAATACTGGTTGAGGATTCGCAAACTGGGGATGAAACAGGTTTCCGGTGTGTTTTAATTTCAAACAGTTTATGAAGAATGGTCTCTTTATAATGTGGGTACCAAAAAATCGACTTATTTTCATGAAACAATAAATGGAGATCTATCCACGGTTGTCCCTTTAGGTTCATCAACGAACTGATAATGAAATGCGTAAATAAATTTATTTTGGTAAACAAAGAGATCGCTCTTCTCTCTTATTTTAGTAGTGTCTACCAACATATTTCTAGTATACGCGTCACCGAACAATGAAGCAGCATGGATTTGTTTTTAATAATAAATACGTACGAAGACAACAGTATAAGACAATCAGTCAATATTGGTTATAATAATTGAAATAATGTGCATTCATTCTAAACTTCACGAACATTTTTAAGCAATGTTTGAGACTTCCTTTCAGTGAGATCTAGTCCAGTCTGATTTGGGACATATTAGGTAAGGAGGGTGTGAGCACTGAAATTGGAGTCCTTATGTAAACTTCAAGATTGGTATTTTTTTTCCAGATGATAGTGAAAGCTTCATGAAAAAAAAACTAACTGTAAAAAAATCAGAACAAAATGAATTTTCATGTTCTTTTCAATGATGATGAAATGATGATGATCACTGTCGACCACAGAGATCTCAAATTTATTTCTTTGAAATCTGCTTTAAATTCTAGCTAAATGTATTCAAGACTGATGCCTTCTTTATAAAAACACCATCACATTTTTGTAGTGAACGAGAACACAGGTGGGGCAACCGAATTGTATTTAGCGAAATTACAGAGTTACTCTGTAAAATCGGAAAACTATATCGTAAATCGTTAATTTACAAAATATCAGTCCATCATATCGAACTGGACTGTTCCTGTTGCAAAACATCAATCCATTGTCTGACATTTCACTGTTCATGCGTTTCATACAAATTCGATTGTGTTCTAACTCTTCCTTTCTTGATCTTCCCCCATCTTTTGCTGCCAGACATTATGTTGACACTCACGTCATATACTACTTATAAGTAGCTCACACCACACTTTAACAATGATTAGTATTACTGTTATCATGAACAAAGATAGATATTAGTGCCTCTAAATTTTCTCATCAACTTATCCAATAGACAGACAAAATGAACACGTGAAAAGTTTTGACATTCACACTGGTTTTACTGATGTAAAATTCTAATAATTTTTATAGTCTAACTTACATTGACCAGCATTACTGGCTAAGTACAAATTTCCCATCGATCCAGTAATTATCTCTAGCATAACTATGATTAAAAAAGAATGTAATAATGTAGTTTGATATTTACAAAAGTAATTTTTCATGGATTAAATAAATTTTGTAATTATTCCATGATCAATAACCACTGTTAAATGTTTTTTTTAATAATTTTAATGCAATTTGACTAATCTCTATTTACATGAATTAGGCTCTTCTTGTTGTGTTGGGTTCGGGACTGTAATAGATTTATTTCTTTTCAACATAATTTCATCCAGTGGTCCGATGTTTAGGCGTTCACGCACAATATTGAAGGTCCCGGGTTCGAATCCTGCGAGGTGCAGGAGTCGTGGATGCGCACTGCCACTGATGAGTCCCATACCAGGACGAAACGGCCACCCAATGTTCCAGGTTTCAGCATAATTTCATCCTGATAAATAGCGGCTAGTAGTAATTAATATTCATGTCTGTTTTATTTGATTCAACAATCGTCATATGGATGAATTCATAATAGGTTCAAGTCTCTGCGTGAATATCAACGTTGGTATGTTCGAGTGAAAGATTCTACTGTTACATGTTTTTAAAAATCCATGAAATAAGACATGAATTTCAATTTGTAGAGGAAATTAGTGTTATACAATAAATACTATGTGTAATTTGTGTAGATTAGAGTGAAATACACTTTGAATTTGCAATTCATTTAACAATATGCATATATAAGTCTCTAATGTTTACTGAATACATTTAAAACTCTCACAAAAGCGATACTACTATCAATTCGACCATGTAAAAACTACACAATTGGTAGGATTCAATAAATTCACGTGACCTATTTAAAGTGTAAATAGAGACTTTGTTATTTCACTTCATCTTTTATTAGTAACCATGAATCGATCAATATTAGACCACCATTAGAAACCTGGAAGCACTGGACGGCCGTTTCGTCCTGGTATGTGACTCATCAGCAATGCGCATCCACGACTCCTGAACCCCGCAGTATTCGAACACAGGACCTTCGGTACTGTGCGCGAACCTCCTAACCGTTAGATCACTGAGCCGGCATCTAACGGTGTTGATGTCTAACTTGATCAAATTGCGCAACCTCATACCCTGTACACATTCGGACAGGTTTGAACTTCACTGGTCACGACTTCCCACTAGAACTCGGAGAAGATTCCTCACCAAGCTAGTCACTAGTGGACACATGTAATTGCATTGCGAGGTTGTTGTGAAGATTGTTAAGTTTTATTTGTAACCATGAATCAATCAATTTTAGATCGAAGGTCCTGGGTTCAAGAGTCGGGGATGCGCACTGCTGATGAGTCCCATACCAGGACGAAACGGCCGTCTTTCAATGCTTCCAGGTTTCTAATGGTGGTATAACATTGATCGATTCATGGTTCCAATAAACTTAAATAATCTTCACAATAACCCCGCAACGCCATTTCACTTCATCATTTAAAACTCTAGAACTTACAAGTTGAAAAAATAACGAAAAATTTACTCACTCACTCACTTTTCAATACAATGATAAATGAACAATGGCCAGTCATTAGCTTCATATCTAGTATATTCACAGATCAGAAGTTATCCATTATACTTCTGTTAATCAGAAGTTTATATACTGTTTCCAAATTTTTTTTAAAAAAAAACCCATAATCGTCCGATAGTTATATTGTATTGTTAAACTATTAATTGTCTGTCTGGAGATGAACTAAAGAAATTATTATTTCAATAACGAATCTAGACAAACCTAAAATCATACGTTATCTAAGAAAAATGTATTGTTCTGCTTAGAAGAAAGCAAGTCGTTTGTTAAACAATAGTTGTATTTTTTAAAACACGCGCAGAAACACACCATGAGCTCGTATCTACACTTCATACACATACGTATTGATTTGTAAGAATCCTCTGACCAACGTTTGAAATAATTTTTTCGTACTTTTAATTTTGTAATTATAAGCATTATTTTCACACTGCTGATGAGTCCCATACCAGGACAAAACGGCCGTCCAGTGCTTCCATGTTTCTAATAGTGGTCTAACATTGATCGATTCATGGTTACAAATAAAACTTAACAATCTTCACAACAACCCCGCAATGTGAGACTTCTTCTTTCACGTCCATTCTTATACTACTTATATCGTTCGTATAAGTAGCACACACCACAGTTTAACCTACTATCTTCAATGTTTGAATATTGATAAAAACTTAACTTATCATATTTTATTATTCTTATTACTATCAGTACACCCGTCTTCCTACTATCAACTTGTAATTTTACCTGTTATGTGCCGTGACGTAATCTATTTCATTTCATTTTGATCATTGACTCCTAAATTGCCTTGATTGGTTTAACATTTTCATAAAATATTCATGTGTATCAGAGTAAAGCTTGATGACGATATAATCTGGAAACAGCAATGTTGTTCGCTTATCGGTGTTGTTCTAATCCTCTAAGTGACGTTTAAAACTGCGATTGATCAGTTTCTCTTAGTAACTGAGCCTCTTGTGAATGTTGCCTATATGACTTTTTTTTTTAAGGAACATGTGCAATAAGTCTAGTAGGTGGCACTCAAATCAATCAGCACACAACAAACACATCGATATTGGCCTATTTATTAGCCAATCAGAAAAAGGATAGACAAATATAGGGTCGAGAAACAGATCAAAGGGGAATACAATCAAAACAAAGGTGCAAACAACGACAGGTTTAAAGTCAACAGCAACCAATCAAGATCGAGGTCAGTAGAACGAGCCACAAGTCATACATGGAGAAATTTGAATACTCTTCACTTTTATCTGAAGTTTGTGCTATTGATGATGTTGTTCAGAAGAACATTCATTGCCCCACAACCAAAACATACAGTTCAGAGCACGAAAATCCATCACAATCTTCCACTTGAGCTAAAACTTTTCTCCGGCATCTCAACATGTCTAGTAGTTGGCACCTACGCCACGTTCTATGATACTCGTGACCTAATGGTATTATTGAGACAATCCTCATAGGAGGCTCTAAGCTAAACTGATTAATTGCGGTCTTGAACATCAGAGGGGAGCAATTAATCAACTAACATAAATGAAATAAAATCCACTCATTTACACAAGTCATTAGCCGTCTAGATAATACGACGGCGTTTCGAGTTTCGGTGGATATCAACTATGCGATACAGGCAAATTAAGTCAGCGTGTCCAAAACAGAACAAAACACTCATCCTAGATTCCATCTACTGCTAGCCACTATCAAACTTTGTTCGAACATATAGCTTGCAGTACACTGAACATGAACGGAAAATCAGAAGAATTACATTATTTTATGCTCAAAATTTGTATATTTTACTTTGTAGAGGTTCTGTGTATCGTTTCGTTATAGTATAATTGGACTAGATATTTTATTTATGGTGTTTAAAAGTGTTATGTTCGTCAATTGCTACACGTGAAACTATAACCAGTTCACCTTCGTCGGTAAACAAGAGCGAGACAAAGGACCCAGTGACACGATAGGCTACTCTAATCCGAGCGTCCCAAGGCTCCACTTAGTAGTTGAATTCTTGGTATGTCGTAGAAAGTGTATGCTACAAGCACCCAGGAAATACTAGGTCTCGTACAAAAGAAGAAGAGGAGCATACAGCCTTACAGACAGTGCATATTTGTACAGTTAGTTCGACCTTGAATACTAACCAATAGGAAAGAAATTTATAAGTATGGGAACATGATAGTTTAGGACGGCCATCAATATTGACCAATAGGAATCGACCAATAGAATTAGACTCACAAAACAATTTCTTTAGGTTATTTGATGAATATCTTAACAAAAGAAAAAAAATCAATATTCTCATGTTCAATGCTTTGTACTATCTGTATATGATGAACAAGGATAGAGAAGAGATAACTAAAGGTCAAGAAAATAGTGGAACAATTGAGTAATGAATTTTGAAAAGCACTCAAATAATCAATCACATCTGAATACTCCAAGCATAAAAGCAGAATACACGAACCACCCATAATAGGGTTCGGCAGACAATACTGTCAAGGAGATTAAAAATCACAAGAAATCATTCTTGTACTAGACTAGGGTTGAACAGCATTGAAGGTCAACTTTCTTCAACTGCTTACCAGAGCATATATGCTTTATAGCACAGAATTCTTCAGTAACGTGGAGTTTAACATCTAGATGTAAAATAATTGAAGAGAACTAGGAAACTGTCTAAATGTTTGTTTACTTATTAGGATGTATGCTTGCCGATTCTAATCTTCTGAATTCCTATTGACTTATTTGATTTTAGTAAATTTATTTCAGTGGGTTATACTTCTTGAATCCTATTTTTGAGCCATAATCTTTTCGATTACTTTTAATACTGCTGCTACCTCAACTACTATGGAATTTGAATTGAAAATTCAATCTCTCTGTACTAATGTGATATGGTAACTTGAACTGATGTACATACGTACAAAGTTCAAGATTGTTGCTAACTGACTTATTTGTAGGTTTAGAACGTACATAGTTTGGAAGCGTGAACTAAGAAGAACATGAGAACGAAAATTTTTCAAAATCGAAAATCTTCACCATCGATTATGTGAGGCATACAATACAGGGAGTTTAGAAATTCAAAATAATATTCAAAGTCTTGGAAAAAAAATATCCCTTAAAAAGATCAAGAAAGTGAGGTCCGATAAAATCAAATCACATGTTACTGCGGAGAAAGTTACTTGGGTAGGACAGATCGCCGATTGGAAGACAGGATAGGGAACATATTCCACCATCTCAAGAACATATTCCAAAATGGTTAATCAAATCCATGATTCATCATCCTAACCCGTCATCTCAAGAGCGATCAAGAAACCCAGTCTCGTCCATAACAAAACATCTAATGTGGAGTGGTCATCAAATTGACCCAAAATCAGCCTTTGGAGTTGTGACATGTCATCAAAACCCACACACACTCAAACTACTCGAAGCTATCTTGATTGGTCGGAAAAGTCCAACTTTATGTGTTCAAAAACAACTGTATATTGACCTTTGTTTACCGTGGTTCTAGTGAGTGAATGTCACGCTAAATAAGAAATTTTGACCTTATCTTTAAAACTGTATTTACACAAATAACAT